GCTGTGCGCCACTCTGTGTACTGAGTTGGTAACAACTGCTTATGCAAGTGAGCACATAGGAAAGGGCCTTTCCCCCAAATAAATGCAGCAATTTAAACCAACAATGTTTATACAGAGCAGAAACAGAAAAAGGTAAAACAGGCTATCTTTGAGCGTTCATGGGTTCATTGGAAGGCCTGGTGGCTAATGGGCCCTGGGTTTCTAGCCCCAGCTTAAAAAAGGAAATTAGGGGCCAGCCCGGTGGCGCACTGCTACAGTGCGCCGCTTGGGAGCGTGGTGGAGCTCCCGCTGAGGGTTCGGATCCCACATACAGACCGGCCGCTCACTGGCTGAGTGAGGTGCAGGCGCAACACCGAGGGTTGCGATCCCGTTGCCGGTCCCTGTCCGGTACGGGCGCGACACTGAGGGTTGCGATCCGTTTCCGGTCACGAAAAAAGACAAAAAGGAAAAAAAAAAGGAAATTAAATGCTGCATGTGTGAAAATATGTGTGAAATTAAATATGTATGAAAATATCTATATTTGTATTTATAAATGTCATTTATATAGTGGAAGCAAGAGGATTAAGAAACCTCAAAACTCAGCTAATTTCTTCATCTAAAAATAAAGAGTATATTTCATTTATTGACACAGGATTTTAGCAGTAGTGTTATCTTCACAGGTAAACGACAGCAGGTTCCCTCATGGTGGAAAATAATATTACAATTTAGAAAGCAAGACAAATTTTATTGACGTTGTATGGAAATACCTATTCGTTTATCTCCCTAAATAGAGCATCTTACGCATAGTTGAATGTCATGAAAACATGCTGTTGGAAGGACGTGTGGAGCTGGCCTTGGGGGCTACCTTCCTGGCCATCTCAGTCTGCCCTGGAGGGTTCTGTCTTTCAGGGCAGGCTGCTGTTAACACTGGTTGCTCTTTGCTGTGTAGCTCGTATGTAGTTTTCTGCTGGGTGGCACACACAAACCACAAACCACACACAGGTGTCCCAGCAAACTTTTAACCAATGTGGAAAATCCATTTTTGCCAGAAGTTAGGTATTCATATTCCTACAATCATACTGACCTCAGTATGTCCTGCCATTGGCTTAGAATGGATAAAAGTTGCTACGAGTAAGAGATAGGTTGTCACATCCCTGGAGGATGTGACGATTTTTCCTTCTCAGTACAAAAAAGAGTGGTCAGTCTGTCCTGCTCAGGCATTGAGTGCCACAGGATGCCAAGGGGATGGTGTGGGGACTGTGGGTGCCTTTATAGGAACTGAGGACAGTGCTGTTTGAAGGTTGCCAAAGTAATTGCACAGGATTTTTGCAACTTGCATTTTGAGACTTTTATTTTTCTTTACTTATGTCACCAAAAATTGTAATATGAAAAGTGTGCTAACACAAAATTTGAGAACTATTGGCTAGCAACCATTAAAATAATTGAGACCACTAGACTGAGACAGCTCCAGTGCTTTGGGTTCCTACATAAGCAAACCAAACCCAATTCAATGTAAACAGTAGAAGGCAACTTAAACTTCACCAGTCAGAAACCTCCAGTGAATCTCTAACTTTCCAGTCGATCATACCCAAATAAGACAAACGCTTGGCTGTAGCCAATTGAGTAATTTCTTTCCTTTGCTTATGCATTCAGCCTCTGAAAGCCCACTGCTCTTGCTGCTGAAGAGGAGCTCTCCGAATCTCTTACATTCTGAGTGCTGCCCAATTCATAAACCCTTTAGTGCTCAAACAAACTGTTCCATTTACTTCGTCTTCAGTTTTTCTTTAAACACAACTCTCTCCTTTATTTTCTGTGGGTTGGGAAGCCAGCAGCATAATTTTATTAGAACCACATGCAAAGTAAGTATGCATAAGCTCTGGTGCAAAGAGGGGTCTTACATTTTATTAAGAGCATTTTACTGCCAGGCCATGAAAAATACTTAAAGCCTCTTTTTACACTTGTGGGTTCTTTGCTGTATTTTAGCAAGCAGAGTTTGTCTGACAGCACATATTAAATAAGGGAGATGTTAAAAAATTGTCTTCAGCAAACAATTTCATGTTTTTCCTTTCACATAGGCTTGGATATACCACATTTTCATAAAGTAAAACTCTTGGAAAATAATAAATCACTGTAGGAAAAAACTTAAATGTTTTACACAGACAGATGCAAAACTTTACTGGGCTTAGACAAAGTAAGTGGCTGCTGTAGACTGGATGCCCCTTGAGGCTTAATCCCCACTGTGACTGTTGAGGGTGGGAAATCCTATTATGGTCATTGAAAGGTGGGGCCTTGAAGAGGTGATTGGATCGTGGGACCGTGCAGTAGTGAATGGGTTAATAATGGTGGTCAGGGGCGTGGTTCTGAGGGCTTTAGAAAGATTGAATGAAGAGGTTAGTCTCTGCTCTGCCATTTCACAATGTGACACCCTGGATCACTGTTGCCACCACCAATACCCTCACCAGATGTGTTGCCTGGACTTTGGACTTCCCAGCGTCAGACACTGTAAGCAATAAATTCCATTTCTTATCAACTATCCAGTTCTGTCTATTTTGTGATAAGCAACAGAAACAGACTCATTCAATGGCAAATACTGTATCATTTCAATTTTAGCTACAAGTTCCTGAGAAACTTTTGTTTCTAAATTTGCCCTGTGCACATTTCAAAACTACATCCCAAAGGCACCGCCTTCCTGAGTTGAGGATATCAATATTTGTCACTGCTTTTCTCAGCATGGAGGCTTTGACACCAGCACAGCCCAGGCCACACAATCAAGAACCTCTGCTCTTACTGAGTTCTGAATAAGAGACAATCCTGTTGTCACCCTCCTGGGCACACTTCTGCTAATCTAACATAAACTCTTCCTTGCGGCAAATAGCTACTCTTCGTAAGGGCCAGTGTGCTACTAATAACTTATACAGTTTAAAAGATGTTGCGTGGGCTCTTTCAGTATCTTGGTCTCCAGATTTGTAAATATCACCTCATTCATTTCCCAAAAGGCATGTAAGGCTGGTTTGTAAAGTATGAGTGTGACTTTTTTTCAGGCAAAAAAAAAAAAAATTAAAAAAGGTGAACCCATGTCTTACTAATCTAATCATTTCCAGACATCGTTTTTGAAGTCACACCAAATTTCTCTCTGCAAGAGAATGTTTCTTTTTTCCTCTCACTTGCTTTCCTTTTCAACGTTTGAAGAAATCCTTTAAAAATATTTTGGGGCATGTGGAGAGAAGCCTCAGTATCATAAATGGAGTGATCTGGGCCGAATTATCTGTCCGATAAATTTCTTTACAAGACCTTTTAGGGACTGCACCTGTCCTTTGGTCTGGATTCCCCTGGTTTTCCGGGAGGTTGTAAACTTCCACTCTGAGATACTCTGTTCCCTCCTCTCGTTGAGTGTATTTGCTGCTTCTAAACCAACATCCCTGCCAGGTCCTTGTAACGCTGACATTCACACACAGGGGTACCCCCTTTGGGTGACAGTGACCCCTAGGGTTCTTAGGAACTCAATCTAGAACACTCATGCTCTGCAGGTAGAGCCTGAATTCAGCTTGTATCCATCACCCATCACCCAGAACCCTCTGGTCTTCACCTTCACCTCCAATTTTGCACCCTCCCCTCCAGCGAAAGTATCCCCAGGACTGGTCCTGGCACAGCTATGCTGTCACGCCTTCCTTGTGCCCCCAGCAGACCCTGTTTCTGCTGAGAGACAGAGCCAGAGCGCTTCCTGGTGGACACATCTCGCTGCTCCCTCGGGACCACAGGGCAGCATCTGTCCATTGGGGACAGACACTCTCCCCGACATCTCCTATCTGATGGGGTGGGGGTGGGGCAAAATTTGCTCCAACTTTTATCCCTTACCCATCACATTAAAAGCAACAATTCGAAGGACATGGGTTTAGTGTATTCTTTGCAAATTGATACAAGCTTCTAAAATTAAGTACCGCACTCTATTACTCATGAATGACACCTCGATTCGGAATTTTCCTCTTTGCGCTTTCTCATTTTCTGTACTTAGAACCCCTCACTCACATTAGAGTCAAGTGGCTGCGGCCATCCTGCATTGCAAAGAATACAATGACACTCTCCAAGCGTAATGCTATTTCTGTAATTCAGTCTTTACCACCTCAGGCCTCTGCACTGTACCAAGCGTGAGCTCCCAGCCAAACTCTGCAGACCCAGAGTCACATCCAAGATGCACGACTCTGTTCTCTAGGGAGTCTCTGTTCCACTCCTTAAGCAGTGGTGTGCCCTGTGTGATAGCAACCTTCCACCATGGAGACGCGGTCAGTGTGGACGAAATGCAGTCCTGGGACAGCATAACCCAGATTCGGAAACACTGGACAGGAACTGCTGATGACAGAGCTCACCAGCATGGAAGCCAGGAGTGGCACAGGTAGCTATGAAGTGGAGAGAACGTTGCTCTGAGACAAGACGCAACCTTATGCAATAAAGAAGGGCCCAGCTAGAAGTCAGGAGACACGTTAGAAGGATAGCAGCAGTGGGCTGGGCAGGGCAGGGCTGGTCGTGGCTTGCTCATGGTGGCACCTGGTGCAGAAGGTAGAAGGTTACCGAGTGAGTGGCCCCATGCGAGCAAGCTCTGCCCTGCCAGCCCAACACTGGGCCGGCTCGTCAGTGGAGCCTCAGGCACCACTTCCTGGGCAGCTACCTATGGAGGTGACACTCGGTTAGGGGGTCACTGAGCATTCCTTATCATGCAGGGGCTTTCTAATTTGCCCTTCTAACATTCTTTTTTGGGGGTAGCTGGTGGGTATAGGGATAAATCCTGGACTTGGGTGTTAACAGCATCACACTCTAACCAACCAAGCTAACTAACCAGCCCTTAACGTTCTTAATGGCATCCTGGGTACATCACTTAAATGTTACCTTTATGATTTCTATAAAGGAATATAACGTATACATACTTTATCTACGTGCAGGAAAACTTTTCTCGATACATTAAAGCACAGGATAGCAACCAGCTTTGATTCTTACTTATTTCAGCTTATAAATTTAAAATTCTCAAATTAATGCAACATAATCTGTTTATTTGGGGCTTTTATGTCCAAGTTCTGTGCTTTAGTATTAGGTGGCTGTAAATCACAATGCACTTTCAGAACAAACTACCTTAACCATTTTACAAATCCTGCATTACTAATTCACTCCCCCCAAAAATGTTTACAAACGGTTTAGACATCTGAAACCATACTATTGCAAGAGGGTATAAACATTTATTGTAGCAGAATACTATAACTATTAACTCTTAAGTTTATTCTTCCCCTTATTTTACTGCAGCAACTCTGGATTCTTTAGTATAAAGAGAAATCAAAAGAAAAAAAAAATATCCACAATCTTGGGTTAAGAAATACACTGGGACCCAGTAACCTAAACCGTATGTACAGGATATAAACATATTTATATGTTATATGTACATAGTTCATGGTTACCGATTCATTATAAATAGTAGTTTTAACTTAGAGTCTACAAAAATAATCATTTTGGATGGGCTCATGCAAACCAGGACACATACACCTATTTATAAAACATATCTCTACGCTTTTTTCTTTTTGCTTTTAAATATAAATGTTGCTATTTAGCCATCAGCTAAATGATTTAAATGCAAAGCCCAAAGTCCCCAGTTAAAAGTATAAAATCTGCTTCTATCCACAGCAGCACACCGCTTCAGGTATTCACCTCCTACTAGTAAAGTCTAGACAATTTTGTCACCCTCCATTTCCCCAGATGCTAGACAGCCCTCCAGAGTCAAAGCTTCCTTTGTTCCAACTTTTTGTTTTTCAAAACAGTGCGGACCATGGACATTTCTTAAAATAACATCATCTTGGCTTTTACACATTCTCGTGTGCAGGAACATGATGCAGCCTCTTCTTGGCGCCCCGAGGACCACACAGCCAAGGCCAGCTCAGTGGCTCGCCAGGCCATCCGCGTAGGCAGACGACTGAGTGGCCCCAAAAGGCTCGCTCGGCTTCTGATCCTCCGTTAGGCCAGCTGCTTGGTCTGTGATGGACGAGAAGGACAGCTGGTCGTGCTCCATAATGTGCACTTGGTCATCACCCTTGTCTCTCTTCACGTAGAACATTTTTCTGAATTTTTTCAGCTCGTGGAGTTCACAGAAGGTTTCCAGAACCACCAACATAGCGATCAGGCCGAGGAGCAGGTAACCTGGGTGAGAAACAGGACAGCGTCTCAGTGCCATCTAGTCATGGGTAAGTCGAGTAACGAGTGAGTCACCTCCCCAGCAGGGCCGACACCCACACGGAAAAGTCTGTCAATGAATAAAGTCACTGCCAGTTTCCTAGTTTCTTGGAATGTTTTGAAGTCTGTGACTCAAGAGGAATTACCCAGAGAGAGACAATGAAGAATGACTTAACCTTCAATGAACTTGAATTATTTAGAGTCATAGCTATAATTTTTAAAATATTTTAATTAATTTAAATTTTTAATTTTTTTATAATTTTTTTTTTGGGGGGGGGCAGCTGGCCCATATGAGGATCTGAAAACCCTTGACTTTGGTGTTATAACACCACACTCCAATAAGCTGTAATTTTGGGAGGAAAAAGAAAAGTTGGGACTCTTGTGGAGCTTTAAAAAAATTTTTTTAATTGATTATGCATATTCGTGGGGAACAAAGCTGATGGTTACACCTGTGCCCAAGATGTGGGATGATCAGATCAATATTAATGGTGGCATTGATAAAGACAGATAATATACCCAAGGGTGACCTTCCATGCGAGGAGACCTCTCCACCTTTGCTTTATGATCAGTGGCTCACAGAAAGCCGGTGACATCTTAGGAAAGTTTTCAATTGATCATGGGAGGCTCAGAACAAAGCTTGACTTTTCTTAAACACCTGATGCTGTTACCATTATTTCTACTACAAAATAAGTTTAGCACTAGAAATTACAGTTTAAGCTAAATTAAAATCTCTGTAAGAACTGGTGTTGATATTAAGCAGGCCTTTGTGTGTGGCTGTCTACACGGCCACTTATATGCAGCAGCCAACTGGAGCTTGCCATGATGTTGACGGTCGTTTTGGGGCACATGGACCATTCACTGGATAATTGTAACAGCTTCTTACTCTTAAAAAACAGGGTAACTGTTGGTTTTGGTACAGCACTGTCCCTTGGATTTTGTGATGAGAAACAGTCATTGTAGGTTAGTTCCAACCTTTTAAAAATCAGTTTCCAGGGCCGACCCCATGGCGCACTCGGGAGAGTGCAGCCGCTGGGAGCGCAGCGACACTCCCACCGCGGGTTCGGATCCTATATAGGGATGGCCGGTGAGCTCACTGGCTGAGCACGGTGCGGGCGACACCACACCAAGGGTTGCGATCCCCTTACCGGTCACAAAAAAGACACACACACACAAAAAAAATCAGTTTCCAGAAAAAAAAAAAATCATCATGGAAAAGGAACAGAAAAATGAAAAAGAAAACTCCAAGAACAACAAAAATCCCAATTTCTTTTCCTAGTAGTAAAACTTTCGAGGAAGTTTTTCAGAAAATGCATGAATTAGGAAAGCTAGAATTGGCAGCATGTTAGGCATAAAGAGGCTGATGATCTCAAGAATGCAAAGTTTTAGTGTCTTCAGAATTTGACTACAGGGGCCAAGCCCGTGGCGCACTCGGGCGCTGGGAGCGTGGCAGCGCTCCCGCCGCGGGTTCGGACCCTATGTAGGGATGACCGGTGCGCTCACAGCGCTCACTGGCTGAGTGGGGTGCAGCCGGTCTCGAAAAGGACAAAAAAAAAAAAGAATTTGACTACAGATTTTGTTAATAATATAGTGACTGCGGCATGCTCGATTGTATTCTAGAAATAGCAATGACATTGTTCGTCAGACTGATGAACCTGCCCCTTTTCCTTTGTCATTATTTAGTCAAACTCTTGATGCTGACAAAATTACCCATGGGGTTGTGGGCAAAAGCTGTGGAATTCCAACCCACCTACAGCTCATGCAGCTTTGGAACATTCATTTTTTAGATACACAAGTTCTTAACACTCAAAACACAGACTAGCTCTATGTAGATTACCTTAAAAAAAACCCACGATCCACATTGTAACAGGTGATAAAATGTTATGCAAAGGTTTAGCATTATATGAAAAACTGAGGAGGTTAAACGTTGGGCAAAATGTAGGGGAAGACAGTTTACGTACAGCTAGCAAACATAATTACAGAAACATTTTACTTCCTTAAGTCATGAAAAAATGAAAAAGATAAACATAAAATAATATTATATGAAAAGAAAGTTAAGATAATGTTTATTGTGCTATCAAATTCACACACACACACACACACACACATACACAAAAAAAGCACCTGCAATGCTACTGGCCACCAGCACCCCAAGAGTCTGAAACTGTTATGCCCAGACCATGCTGGGGACGGTATAAACTCCTAACACCATTTGGAAAGCACTGGGTTAATATGTTCTGTGACTCACAAAAGGCATATTCACTTTGGGCTACCAATCTCACTTCTTGGAAGGATATCAAAGTAGAAAAAGCGTCATTATATGAAGGTAATCACTACAGTGTTATTTCTAATGCTCCCAAATTAGAAGAAACCTAAATAGTCAGCAATAGAGGCAAGGTTGGATTATGGTACAGCTACCTGCTAAAATGTTATATGAACTCTAAAAAACTAATACTTAGGGGAAATATGGAATCCTCCTGTAACCGTTTGACAAATATCTACTGAACTCGTATGGTAGGCAGGCAGTGTTCCAAGCGTGGGGGATTTATGAGTGAAGTCTTTGTTCTGGGTGTGCACATGGTTTAATGGAAATGTTAAAATACACGCAGTTCAATTAAGCATTTTGTGCGGTTAAGGCTACAAGACAGGCCCAGGACACAGCACGATTACCTGAGTACCTACTATGGTTTCCTAGAAGACAACATGTGAGCCGAGTCATAAATTGATAAATTCTTGAGAAGGCAGAAATGAAAACTGCATAATATATATTATGACTGCAATTCTATGCATCTCGAAAAAGATAGGAAATTTGACTTACACCTGTTCACAAAAATGAACATTTTCTTGAAAACGGTGACGAGTTTTCTATGACATTATATTGAATTTAAAACAAAAACTGTTTAACAAATTATAAATCACCAGCCATCTGAATTTTAATGCCTATTTTATTTTCCCACATATAAAATTCTCAAAACGGGCTGGACGACTAACTTACCCAGTAGAGAGGGTGCTGATAACACCGAGGTCTAGGGTTCGGATCCCCTTACTGGCCAGCCGCCAAAAATAATAAGAAGAATAAGATGAAATAAAAAGGGTGCTGATAACACCGAGGGTTCGGATCCCCTTACTGGCCAGCCGCCAAAAATAATAAGAAGAATAAGATGAAATAAAACAAAATAAAATAAAAACAAAATTCTGAAAACAGTTAACATAGACTGACTTCCCTGAAAAAGAACCAGATGGGCAAACGAGATAAACAACTGTTTTAAGATTTTCCTGGTGAATTAAAGAACATGATTGATGGTAACAGGCTATATCTGAGGCCTAGTTTCCTTGGGCTTAAAATATCTAGGGCCGGCCCAGTGGCGCACTCGGTAGAGTGCGGCACTTCGGCGGCGCTCCCGCTGAGGGTTCGGATCCCATATAGAGACCTGTCTGCTCACTGGTTGAGCGCTGTGCAGGCGCGACACCGAGGGTTGCGATCCCGTTGCGGGTCGCGGTACGGGCGCGACACCAAGGGTTGTGATCTCATTACCGGTCACGAAAAAAAAAAAGACAAAAAGGAAAAAAAAATCTAATAAAATAGAGCAACTTGCAACTTTTTTTTTTTAATTAAAACTTGGTTAACAAGTTCATTCTGTGTAGTGTATTTTTACACTGTAATTTATAATGCCTATTGCATGATTACTAAGAAATCGATCAGTAACTGTAAGGTACCTGGGAAAAATAACTCAGTAATAGGATTTTTTTTTTTAAGCAGGCTGGCCAGTATAGAGATCTGAATCCTTGACCTTGGTGTTATCAGCACCACGCTCTAGCTCTAACCAAGCGAGCCTACCAGCCAGCCCTCAAGATTTTTGCATAAAGAGTTTTGAAGGGAATCATGAAATGAAATAGTTATGGGACGGTGGTAAAAACAGAACACTTATCAATAAGTAAGGAGTCAGGGTTTTGGGGAACGACTCTTCCTTAGCAGGCAAAGGGGAGCTTGGAAGAGGGACAGGAAGGGCAGCTTGCAACCCTGATACTCACACGTGATCCCAATCTTGTAGAGCTCTCTGAATTTTTGATTGTAGCCTTCTCCAGGCACATAATCTCCGAGGCCAATGGTGCTCAGGGAAATAAAGCAGAAATAAAAGGATTCGAGGAAGTTCCAGTCGTCCTCCAGGACAGAGAAGATGGCAGCGGGGATGAAAAAGAAGCAGGACACGGTGACAAACCCGAGCAGGACGGCGTGCACGACGGCCACCACCTGCTTGGAGAAGCCCCAGCGGACGTGGAAATAGAGGACGGGCCTGCGGGTGACATGCACGGTGACACGCTGGACCACGGCCGTCAGGAACAGGAGGGTGAAGGGGATCCCGATGACCGAGTAGATGATGCAGAAGGCCTTGCCCCCGTCCGACAGGGGCACGGTGTGGCCATACCCTGCAAGGAGACCAAGGTCGCTGAGGTGAGGAGGGAGACGGGAGCGGAAAACACATGTTTAAACCACACAGGTCTACGGTCTGCTCTCGGTCCCCAAACCAAGGAGAAAAGGGACTTGAGGTCTGATGCTTTCAAGGCTCTGGCCTAAATGTTATGTCAGTTAAATTCAGCGGTGGAGGCTGTAGACTGGGGAAGTCCACCACTCTGTACAAAATCGGCCCAATTCTTCCAACACATCATAGTCTCTGGTCTTGAACTCACCATCAGGCTGGAACAGAAAGAGGTTCTGTGTGCTGGGGAGCTGGGGCCCCGTGAGAAAACCCCCGAATACACCTCTTTGACATTTCAAGATGGTTAATTCAGAGACTGCAAAAACAAGATGGGATAGAAGGCTGTTTCTTTGTGGAAAGAAGTTTACATCTGTAAATGCAAACAGCCAGGCTTCCCCGGAGAGGCCCCTTGTCTGGCTCCTATCTCAGGGCAGCTGTGAGATTTCCCCAAGCATTTTCATCTGCATCCAAGTCTCTACTTAACTTTAACTTCTGACTTTTTCCTTTCACCTGTGATGACACCTTCCCCAGAACTTCAGAGAGACCTGGTCTCAGGCCACTGTTCTGGGGCTAGTACCACGCCCCACCTTTACTCTCTCTCATGAACACTGGTGTATAAGCTTTGTACCCCCACTGGAAATTGGGACATTACTCTCTTGTGACCCTCATGCTTTGCCTCTCCCAGGATGTTAAATAATAAAATTTGTTATGTCTTTTCTTCACGTTGATCTAAATTTGCCAGTGATTTTTATTACTGAAACTTCCAGGGGTGAAGTTTACCTTTGGCTCCTACAGCCCACACCATCTTAGACCACCAGGAGAAACTCGTCATAAGACACCCATTTCTCCAGGGCTGACCCACCTCCCCCAACCCGTCCCCCAGGATCCTCAATAGCCAAACGCCCGTCTATACCCACCTCCGCCCGTCTACACTCACCTCTGAAACAAACTATTCACAGGAAGGACGGACAGGTGAATAGAACCACGCTAAGTGTGCAGTGGGAGGGTGGTATAGACGCAATGAAGACACAGACATCAAAAAAGAGTAAGAAGAAAGGAAGATTCAAGCACACTAACTCACAGCATTGAGCACTTCTTTTCAGATATTTTGCCCAATTTTCCAGCTAATTGGTACATTCAGAAACCTACATTTTCCCTTTGTCATTTACATACGTTCAAAGATGCCATAAGTTGCACAAAACAAACATTTAAACAATTACATTAGGTCCAAGTAGTCAAAACATGTGTGTTTTACTTTCTACGAGGTTTGCGTCATTCCCAAATCAAACCAATCAAGAGACTCTCCCATGCGACAAATGCCATTTAGAGAGAATACCCAGCTGGGGTGAGGCATGGTGGACTATTTTCAAAATCTCATGAGCACTTCATCCTGAAAGGACCAACGTGCCTGAACAAGTCCATTCAGGAAACAGCCAACTAAATGCATTTTTTATGAAATTGGATTCTGAAAAAAAAACCCAAAATCTCATATGCAATTATAATTGAAGAGGGGTTTCAAAATATGATCCCTAAAATACATCCTGCTTAAAAATAAATAACGCCCCAAAACCCTCAGTTGTAGATCCTCCAAATTCTCTGCTTTAAACCTAAGGCCCTGATGTATATGGTTATTAGAAATATTCCTTGATTATTCCTGTGTACAGCGTCAACATAACAGAGTCAGGGTCCTTAATCCTCTGTCCCAGAAGGCTCGCTGTTCACACATGAGCTACAGCAGTCCCAGAAATCCTCTGAAATTACATGCAAACTTATGCACCCACCCACATACACATTTTTTCATGGAGAGATTCCAGAGCTCAGATTCTCACAAGGGGTGGGTACACATCCCCAAATGGTTAAGAACGGCTGTTCTGAGCATTGGTTCCTGAATCCATCTGGTCCCTGCACCCCCAACTGCTCTTGAAATGCTGTGGCTAATTGTGGGCTTGGTATTTCAAGAGGGAAATGAGCAAGCTGGCATATCTGGAGAATAACATGAAGGATGGCGAAAACGTGCCAGAAAACATTCATGCAACAGATGGAAACCGATCAATCTGATGTGGGCAAACCAGCACGCATTGCAGGGACGCCAGGGCTTACGGGAGTCATGGTGGTAGCTAGTCATTAAGGATGGATGTTACCATGATCCGAGACACCTGGGAACAGGACCTGAAAATGGAATTTTATTTAACCATAACAGCCAACAGGAAAGAGATTCACAAACTTAGTTATGAGCCTGCAACTAAGTGCTTAGGAGATATTAGTGTCCACACGACTGGAACGCTGAGCCAAGCCTGCATGGATGGATTTAACTTTGGCAGGGATTTCATAGGAAAAAACCTAAGATTAGCTGTCAGTGGACTGCACAAAAGCCTTTCAGTCTGTGATCTTATTACTTTTTTCAGTAGCATTTTTATAAATTAGCTTTACTAGAAGTGTAATACACCTGTTTCACACAATCCACATTTTTATACCATCTGTTCCAATAAATTACAGAATTTAAGTTCTAGTAGGAGAAAAAGTGAACAAATCTCTAGTTTAAAAATATTTCAGGATATGACTTTTCTCTCAACTTACAATAGCTCTTTTTATTAGAATGTTAACTAAATCTCATTTACTAAAATGTTATCTCCAAGCAATAGCAATAATCATTTCAAGACTCTAAGATTTCTCACTGGGGTAATGGCATTTGTATTCCAGTAATATATTCCCACCGAGAGATTTAAAAATTGCCAACATGCAGATTCTTACGAAAAGCCATTTCTTCTCCTGATGTTTACATAAATAATTTCTGTTAATAGAAAGTAAAATGTACATTCTGCATTTCATTTTTATTCTCTACCCATACGGTACGGCTGATATTGGGAAAACCATCCCCTCCTGCACGACTACATAGCAATTCTTTTGCAATAGACCACTTACTGCATCAGATGGAAACTTTCAATGCTATTGAATTTTAATGAAATGGCAAATAACTTACTCAAGTTCAGTCAATCGACCCTCCAGATAAATCATGAAGCAAAGTTCATATTTTAAAATCTCATCATCATATTAAAATCCATTACAAACCATGAAGAATTAAGCAAAATGTTAAGAAACCTGGCATCTTTGGGGTTCTTTACATTTTTCTAAGGCTATTTATGCAATTTTTAGGCCTCAAAGATTCAGGAAAACAAAGTCTACTGAAAAAACTGACTTCAAAAATGTAGTTACGATCTAGAGATGAAACTCTCAGATATCAATGCTCATATTTTAGCCTCCTTCTCCACAATTGCGGGGCTGTCTGCTATGACACTGAACTTGTGAAATGGGTGGTCGTACTGATGACAGTTCCCTGCAGAATCTGGCTGCTCTAATTACAACAGTCCTGACACTATGCTAGCTAATTTCCAGTCTGGGGCTATGCCATGCTAGATATATGGGCATTCTGGTCTTCCTGGTAATTCAAGTTCTCCTGAATTGGGTCCAAGACAGAGCACCTCTGCGGGCTCCCACTTAGCACAAGTCACTGACATGTTGCAGAAGCTGTTGAGAGAGGTGCAGCTTACAATGGCCCACAGAATACATATCCTCATTTATTTCCTTTTTTTTTAGTATGATATGTACACAATGTACACATTCTGCATTGTTAGCTTAATACATGCTTTTTTGAAAAGCTACGAAAGAACCGTCTCAGCCTCTGAAACTGCAATCAGTTGCAACATTCCCTCTTCTGTAAAACAGGTTTACTTTGCAGTTCTGGACTTTGGTTTATCCATTATCTCTTTTCCACTGGACTATGTGCCCCCCTGGGAGGGAGACCATGTCCTCGGAAAGAACCGTCTCAGCCTCTGAAACTGCAATCAGTTGCAACATTCCCTCTTCTGTAAAACAGGTTTACTTTGCAGTTCTGGACTTTAGTTTATCCATTATCTCTTTTCCACTGGACTATGTGCCCCCCTGGGAGGGAGACCATGTCCTCCTGTATTAGTCCATTTGTGTTGCTTGTAACAAGATACCTGGAACTGGGTATTTTGCAAGAAAATGAAATTTATTGCTTACAGTTTCAGAGGCTGGGAAGTCCAAAGTCCAGGGAACACATCCGGTGAGGTGACCCTACAGGGTCAGGGATGGTGAGGCCATTGAATCGGGAGATAATTGTCATTGAAAAGAGAGCTTGTTCCTCACAGGTCCCAAGAGTAGGGTCATGCCATGCCACAGGGGCCATGCGGGGAAGCTCTGGTGTTGGTCAGGAGGCAGAAAGAACAGGGGGGTAAAACTTTATCATGGTTTCTACAGGAGGAATGGGCTAAGCAAAGTAAGCAGGTTTAGGATCAATTAGTTGGAATCTCAGCAGGCTCTGGGACACAAGGGCTGGACCTACTTATCTGTACCTGGCCCTGGGGTGATTAGAGCAGGGGACAGAGGCCCACAATGTGTGAACCGGATAGAGGAGGTGCTGGGGTCTGGGCTCTGGATTGTCTGGTTTGCATGCGAAAGGCACGCTCACAGGTGAGCTCTTCACTATCTCTGGGAATTGGCTAACCCTCAGAAGGGCAGTTCCTTCAGAGTCATCAAAGCCCCCAAATGTCAATGCATCAGAATAACAAGACCTACCTGACACAGAAGGAGAGGGTAACAGAGCCAGCGGCAAAGGCATGCACATCAGCTTGGCCTGCAAGTAGCACCAGTCCCAAGGAGCTTGTGCTAGTAACCCAACCAGGAAGAATCCAGTGGGCTGCAGAGGAACTGGGGAGTCGTGCTTGAGACCCTGTGCTTGAGAAAAAGTCAGGGGATGTGCTCTGTGGATAACTATGATACGAACAGTATGAGATCCTGGAATCTTTAAAGTACGCCCATATTTGTTACCTGTTAACTCTTGTTCCTACCTACCCCACCCCCACCCAGAGGAGCATTCCGATGAGGAACGGAAAGCATCCGGTGGGAGCTAGGACTCACACTGTGCTGTGT